GCTATGTAGCTGGTGGAAGTGAACTCCCTGTTGTCATTCAGCAGGTTGATCTAGGTATCACCCATACCTCATTGCTTCACTCTGGGGAAAATTGGAGGAAGGCTGCTTGTAGAGCGTTCCGTATGACGTGGTTTATTCGCCGCTCCCTTGGGGTCCTAACGGCCAATATTTTTACGAAGCTGTTAGCTTTTGTGCGACCCCACTTAGAGTACTATATACAGGCTTGTCCACCTTGTCTTGTAAGGGACAAAATGGAACTGGAGAGGGTTTTACGAGTGGGTACAAGGTTAGTGCAAGGATTACGGGGGCAAACGTATCCCGAACGTTTGCTTAGCTTGGCTATGTACTCAATGCACTACCGCAGAATTAGAGGAGACTTGATTCTCACTTACCGTATCTTAACGGGTAAGATCGGTCCAGATTTGTCCTGGCTATTTAGTCCCGCCAAGCTGCCTAGTCTCCGAGGTCACCCGTTGAAGCTGCACAAACAGCGTTCTGACCGGTTAAGGACGGAAACTCGCTTGTCGCGTCGAGTTATTGAACGTTGGAACTCGCTTCCGGCGCACGTGGTTAGGGAGTCTACGGTAGAGGGTTTCGAGCGTCAGTTAGATGCTCTAGGGTGGCAGTACCAAACATTCCCCTTCTCCTAACCGACTTGTATCTTCAACTTTCCCTTCGTTCTTTTTTAATTTTCTTCTCACCTTGGTATTATCATTATTTAGCTGACATTCCTCCTCTTCTTTTTTTAGCTTACCCTTCACTCTTTTACTTCACATAAACCGGCCCGGCAGGGACTGCTAGGCAGGAAAATGTGGGCAGTGATTGGTTGGGCAAGGTGTGATGCGGTCTTTGTTTTAGGCCTTTCAACATCTCAAGCAGACCTGTCAATTCCCGATCCAACGATACGCAAAAGAAGGAACATTCACGGGATTATCCTATCGTTCCGGTCCCAACTGAACTTGAACTTGGGTAGAATAACTGTACTATGTACTATGTACCATTTTACACAAGAAACCCCAGTCAAATCGAGTAAAACTAAAACTAGTACACTCGTCTTAAAGTGCGCACCTAAGGTAGAAGTGCTTGTGGCTTGGTGCGCTTACCGGTGCAAGAAGCGGGCCGCTCGTTAGGCGAAAGCCTGTATCCTCAAGAGCTGACCTTACCTGACCTGCACTATACTAAAAATCGGATTTATTATTTGAGGCAATTCCTTGAAGTCGAAAAATCAATTTACCATAAAGCTAGGGAAAGCTATCAGCTTACATAAGGGCTGCCCGACCATTACATCCACTTGTGATGATGTACCGTAAAGCTTGATTATCACGACCTCTCGGCTCTCTGGTAGTGCAACGGCTCCGCTATCAGTGCATTAGCTGCGGTCGCATCCCGGAATGCGGATTTATCACTGTTGGTTTTGTTCCAGCCCCATATACCCTGGACACGGAACACTTTTCGTCCGTAACGATTGCAAGGTATTAGCCGCTAATGTGGTTAATGACCACTTTTGTGGTTTATTGTATGCCTGGTTAAATTTTACCTAAAATGCGTGCTATCGTGCCAATTTTCAGTATCTGCGATTTACGAAATCGGCATACTAGTACACCCACACGTCTGCAGAACAGTGGGATTTCTACAAGAACGAATTATGTTTCACAATACTTATTATGCTTGTAGTTTACATGTTGTGACTCGTCACCGATTAAGGCTATGTCAACACCATAATCTAACTCGATCGCTCGCTTGCCCAGTAGTAGCTCCAGACAAAAATTGTAGCAACCTTCCAATGCTCTCGGCAAGGCGTTTACAATCGCAAACATGGGGCTGCCCTGTCAAACACGTACAATATACCGCTATTAACAGCGAAGGATGAAGTAATCTTGCCATTGATCCTCACTCCGCCAGATGTGGAAGTAACGTACGCGCAGGATGGCAGTGTAGTTTTCTGGGATCCCCTTCTTTAGCGAGCGAAGCCATAGCGCAGGTCGATCAACCGAGTCGGATTCAGCATGGGTTTTTGGGGATGCAACAATGGTAGGCGCTTTGTAGATCTAGCGATTTTCCTGGATTTGGTGGAGCGTGTAGATTTGATCCAAACAACCACAGCCAACACGGATGCCAGCTTGTTTTTAACGATACTCCGATTCGCGAATCGAGGATGGTCCAAAAAGTAGCATGGAAGGCAATGGATTGGAGGCAACCGAAATGTGATTGAACCCCCAATTAGCGGATGAAGTGCGACCACCCTTATTTTAAACCGGGGCAATAATTGACTCGTCCTACGGAGTAGGCACCTTCAATCCAGATTTTAGAGCAATGAGGTTAGTTGGCGGATAAAATCTGCGCCTCCATACTTGAACAACTCTGGAGGGCGTCCGTCAGCCGGCAGCCTTGAATCGTTTCACTTGTCGAACCTGAAGGCAAAATAAAACAACAGCAGTACATCAGCCAATTGAGCTGATGCTTCGCGGCCATACAGCCTTGATCTCTCATTGGAATCATTGGAATGTAGAGAGAAAGAAAGACCTTTGTCAGTTCCATCACCTCCCAATCATAGCAAGTGTTTGCGCAACCGCAATCAACAAGTTAGGTTGTCACAGTTGCATAAGAAAAAACAAGGTCCCAACAACTTCAACAAATCCAACAATCGTTTGTAACATTCCTCAGTGTGCGCTTTGAGGACGGAATCAGGCAAGGAGTTCCAATCGTTCACCACACGAGTCGCTAGGGTAATATCAGAACGCAACCTGAATCTCCCAGGTCTAAGGGGATAAAGAATGATAAGGGAGAGATGGGGGACTTAACGGAAAATCTTAATGCCCTAAGCGAACATTCAGGGTCAATGCGCTTACAGCTTATATTAACAGCATACCGTCACAAACAGCTGGCTGTCGTGCAAAGGTAAGGCGGCATCAGCGAGACAGCTTCCTTGCGGCTTTCACTGCCCCGCGTCGTAATCAGCCATTATCCCGCAGATAACTCAGCACAAACCACGCTTTAAACAAGCAATCCGACTAGAAGACGACAGCAGACACACCAATGGTGTCGGCTGCGAGCCATGTCCTGTACAGTCTCGAGCCAAGCACAAGACGGATCATGTAGACTCTAGGCTGGATGACAAAATGGACCGACGGCACCCAGTTTGGTCGTCAGTAACTTCCTTTCACGCTTCCAGGTCAATGCTTGCTCACCTGTTGATCGTTTTTCCGAGCTTGGTAATGAGATCGCATACGTTTCACCACCATGCAAGGTGGCGTCTTCAGTGTGGCAATACGCAGTGTATAATGCTGCTTCTTGGATTGCCAGTCCGCCTTCCACGGGCAGCTGACTTTTGAAGGTGGCAATTTCGATTTGCGCCACGTGCTCTCTGCCCATTTGCTTCCACGGCTGAACCCCGTCTTGCGATTCGCCGGAGATCTTTCTTTCTTAGTTGATGGTACACGGAGTCAATGTCGATGCGCACGTTGATCGAATTATTAGAGGAGTACCATGCTTCTAGGAACTCTCGTCCTTTCTGTGTTGTTGTTTGAGCTAAAATCACCGTTTTGTTCCAGTTGAAGCTATGTACCTCCTCATCCACATGCGCTGAGACAAGAGACGATGCACGATATTTTTTACAAGCCCTCTAATGTTCTTGTGTTTCCTTCCTGTCTGCCCCACATAGTTTATTTCACAATTATTGCAATCTATTATATACACGACGTTTGTTCGTTCTTGTACATTCCTAATGTCCTTTGGGTTTGACGGTATTCTTCCCAAAGTAGCGGTTGGCTTATGAGCGACTACGATGTGTTGTTTGAGCAATCTGGCAGTCATTTCAGATATGTTCTTCATATACGGTAAAACGACCCTCCTGCTTGCATTTGGTATCGGCTCGGTGTTCATAAGTTTGTGCTTTAGACATCTGCGGATGAGGCTGCGTGGGTATCCATTGCACTCGAACGAATCGAGTAGGTGTTTCTCTTCTTCCCGTTTGTCTTCCACTGTATTGCAGTGTGTTTCAATCCTACGAAATAGTGTCCGCACGCAACTTATTTTGTGGCACTTTGGGTGGTTGCTATAGAAGTTCAAAATTTGATCCGTATGTGTCCCTTTCCTGTGAACGGATGTTTGAAATTCACCGTTTGTTCTGATCACCAACACATCCAAGAATGGGAGCATGTTTTCTGCCTCTAACTCCATCGTAAACTGAATCCCATCCATTGCATTGTTGAGCAGTTGGTGTGCGATTGCTACTTCACTGCGTTTCAGTATTACAAATGTATCCTCGACATAGCGTACCCACAACTTCGGGTTAATAGCTGGTAGTAGATCTTTTAACTTTTGCATGACGATCTCACTGATCAGACCTGATACTGGTGATCCCATCGGTGCCCCCTTCACTTGCTCGTAGATCTCTCCGTTGAACGAGAAGTCATTACCATCAACAGCAGTACATCAGCCATTTGAACTGATGCTTCGTTGCCATACAACCATGAGGACCTATGAAATAGAGAATAAGAAGAGGGAGAGAAGAGGGACTTACCTGAAAACCTTAATGCCTTAAGCAAACATTCAGGGTCAAGGCGCCTACACCTTGTGTAGACAACATACCGTCACAAACAGCTGGCTATCGTGCAAAGATAAGGCGGCATCGGCGAGACAGCTTCCTTGCGGCTTTCACTGCCCCGCGTCATAATCAGCCATTACCCCGCAGATAACTCAGCACCAAACACACTTTAAACAGGCAGTCCGATTAGGAGACGGCAGCAGAAGCGCCACTGGTGTCTACTGCGAGCCATGTCCTGTAAAGTCTAGAGCCAAGCACAAGGCGAGTCACGTGGACTCCAACCCGGAAGGCGACACGGACCAACGGCACCCAGTTTGGCAGTCAGTGACTTCATTTCCCGCTGCCAAGTCAACTTCTGTCCACCTCGAGCCTTGCGCCACCCTACACCTGGCAGACTAAACAAGGCCCTCCTAGGTAAGCGGTGACCAGGCATACGTAGAACGTGCCCGAGCCAACGCAACTTATTCAGTGCTATCTGTTGTTCTAGAGAGCTAGCATGATTATCACTTCCTAGTACTCGCCTACGCACATCATCGTTGCGGACACGCTGGTGCCATCCGGCTCCAGCAATGCTGCGCAGACAACGATGATCAAAGACTTGAAGGCGTTTTAGATCTTCAGACCGAAGCGGCCAAGTCTCACTACCATAGAGCAGAACGGCCCTCACTGTGGCCTTGTATACACGGCCTTTCTGACGTAGGGAAACTCCCTTCTGTCGCCCAAGATGCCACAGGTTCAAGAAGGCAGTTCTGGCCTTTGCAATGCGTGAGCTGACGTCAGCTCCTATACGCCCGTTGTTTGCTGATTCCGCTGCCAAGCTAAGTGAATTGATCAACCACCTCGAGTTCCTCGTTAGCAAGCGTCAAGGGGTCATCAAGTGGCTGGTGGTCCTGAAGCAACACTTTGCACTTTGAAGGTGCGAAGTGCATACCAAATAATGGGACCACTACAGAGAGGCTATTCAGGGTTGATTGTGCCGCCCTAACATTGACGAAAAGCAAGACGATCTCGTCTGCATAATCAAGATCAACTAACCTTTCACCGGGCAGCACTTCAACGCCTACATCGTGAGATTCCGCAACGGAACACTGCATGATAGAATCCACGACGAAATTGAACAAAAATGGGGAAATCGGACAACCCTGACGAACGCCACTTGTGGTCGGAAAGCTATCCGACAGGACACCGTAGACCCTGACGCGGCTAGTAGTGTTCGAGTATAGAGCACGAAGGATGTTCACATATTTCGTGGGAACACCTTTCCGCGCAAGTATTTCGAACAGAATCGGTCGATCGACTGAATCGAACGCACTCTTGAAATCGAGGAACACAGCTATTGTCGGTCTGCGGTACGCGTGGCGCTGCTCTAGCACCTTCCGAAAAGTTAATATATGGTCTATACAGCCACGTCCTGGGCGGAAACCGGCCTGCTCTTCCCTAATCCGAGATTCCCGTTCCGCAGTGAGGCTAGACCTTACCGTCGTGCGATGGTTTGCGTGCCTCAGTGATCCATTGAGCTATGCTGGGTGGTGCTTTTTTTGTACCTCCAGAGCCACTCATACCAGATTGGTCAATGGTTAGAGGCCAGACAAACTCAGCCTCCTGGTCCTCCAAGTTGGTTGGAATGGGGGTGGCTCCTCATTTCATAAAACGGGCTCTGTAGTCCAGTGCCAAAACCCGCTGTCTTGCGGTAAGGTTTTTGAACCAAAGGCTTTGATTGAGAACCCTAATCGTTCTCCTGTCTAGGCCTGGGCAACCTGACAGTATTCTGCGCCCGCAATACATTGAACCTTTCCTACAACAATTTCTTCATGCTCTGGCCGTCGCAGAGGATAATCAACGATGCCCTATCTGCTGCATCGAGCAGGGTGGATAGGGCTATGGATGCTACTGCTCAGGCCTTCCCGTCTTCTTATACCCCTTTTT